GTTCGAGGTGCGGCCTCACCAGTGCCGAGTACAGGGGCACGATCACTTCCCTACTCCTGCTGGCCACACTATTTCTGATACAGGCCAGGATGCTCTTGGTCTTCTTGGCTACTTGGGCACACTGTTACAACATATATGGAACAGTCTTGCCAGTCCTTACAAAGCAAGTCACACAGTAAGAGTCCAGTAAATATGGTATGATAAAACTGAATTATGAAAGCTTTCCCTGTAAATGGGCATTTATTGAACATCATAACCAGAAGTCAAGCAACAGGCAAAGCATTACCAGGAGGTTGAGGGAGGTGATCTTTCTCCTCTATCCAGCACTGGTGAGGCTACATCTGAAGTCCTGTGTCCAGTGATGGGCTCCTCAGTACAGAAGACACATGGACATACTAGAGGGAGTTTCTCTGATCCATCCATCCCTACTCTTAACTATATATGAAAACCTGAACACCTTATTAAATCAGTTTTCTTAATCCCTTACTATGCAAGACATTTCCTAGAAGATAAACTAAATCCTCTCTCTCAAACTAACTAGCAAGTAGAAGACATTCACAATGCCCAGCTCTAGGCACTTAACAGTAATAATGAAATGTGGCTGATCTCCATAAGAGTTCTGCAGAGAGCTTCAGGGGGCAATTTAGAGCATGTAAACTAAGGATGCATTGAATATTGTTCCACCAAAGCGCCAAGCCAGGATTAACACAAACACTGTTGATGTATCGTGTTATAGCAGATGGATGAGAAAATTCTAATCTTTTCCAATCAGTGAATAAATGACAGAGTAACCACAAAGAAACCTTATCATCAATGAAACTGATTGCACAAGAAGTATAAGCTAATCTTTGCTGAATATTCCCCAGTTGTATACCTTCTTCACTGGTGACCTTGAACCATACACTAGTTATTTTTGTGCATTAGAGAATCACTTTGCTGAGTTTTCAGTTTTAGGGTGCTCTGGAAGATCTGCCCCATAGCACTCTGGGAACATTAAGAAAGTCTTGAACCTCTGCAACATGGCAAGATTAGATACTCACTTTCCTACACACAAACTAGAAAAAACAGTGAAAACCATTTTATTTCAGCAATAGTACATATGCATGAATATGCTTGTTTGCCTCAAATGTATGGAAACTGACTGTACCATTTCTGGATCAATTTTCACAATGTTCCAAGATACCCTAAACTTTGCAGTACCCTTCCTACCTTTTACATGTATCTCCAAGTTTAATTTGGGTTATTCATCTGGAGGAAAAAAAACATGCTTTTTTTAGAAATTTGAAGACAGGCTTCATTAGCAAGTTTTTTGTGATCCTGCAATACATTTGCATCTATAGTTGAATTAAAAAAGGAATCATGCATTCTCCTTAGGAGAACAAAGACCAGTAAGAAAATTAGCTATAAAAACTCAACCTGGCTCTGGAAATAGGGTACAAAACCACATGGATTTTTTCTAGCCTGTTTTGTACAGGCAGTCCTTGGAATTCCACTATTCTATTGAGTAGTATTTTTTCCTTTGGCTGCAGTTTGTCTGTACAGAATTAAAAAGTTCTGGCTTGTTGTACAACCTAACAGATAACAATTGCTGCCTCAAAGAACTGGCTAGAGGCTTTCCATGCAAATATAGTAGCTATCACTACTGAAGAAATTTCCAGAAATGCTTACCAAATCATCTACATGCAGAGCACTAAAGAATGGACATACTTTGCATTCCCGAGTACATGAAACCTCACACATTTCTTTGAACACAGAATAGCAAATAAAGCCGTGTACTTAATGAGATAACAAATACGATACAAAACTGCAACAAGAAAAAGTCAGTCCTCCATGTAGGCTGTTAAATTTATCATTACCTTGGCTTGCAGTCGGCCTCCTAGTGTTGACCTGGCATGATAGATCACAATGAGAACATCCCCCTGAACTGTTATACCTAGTGGAATTACTGCTCTCCCATCTTCAATTTTAAACTCCCTGAAGAAAAAACATAACCACAATTAAATTTGTTTTTAAAAAATACTGTATTATTTTATCTTTGGTTTGCTTTCTCCAAGGCCTTCAATATCAACCTATAAAAATCTGCTTCAAGTTCTTATTGCGGAGAAGGAATTTGCTCTAAAGGATTAAAACTTAAAAGCTGCTCTAAAAATAACAAGATTAATGGTTGCCTACAGCAGAGAAACAGACATACAGACCCATAGTTCTCAAATCAAACATGGGAGAAACATGTTTTCAAGGAGCTCCTTGAAGAATGTAAGACAGGATTTTATGAAGAAAGCTGTTCTGAAGAAAGGTGCAGAGAAAAACTGTAACACCCCACAGCTGTTTCTGTTCCTGCTCTCTTCAAATTCATTAAACTCCTTAGGGCCTTGGATTTATAGGAAAGCTAGAAGGACTTTAGAGTTGTCTCATCATCCCTCTGTCTGTGACTACCTACACATAGTACTGCTGGTACCATTTGCAATTCCTGTGCTGTATTACAACAGCAGACACCGGAGGTGTACAGGGGCTAATAAGAACTCCCTTACAGCTACAGTTCCCGGGGGATCCTCACTGTTCCCATGACTGAGACATCATGTTCAGTTAAGTACATGTACACCAGGGATCAATCTTCCTAGTTTACACCACATGGAGTAAGAGGAAGGTAAGACTTGCTCACCTCTGCCTCCCAGTGCCCAATGTGCCACCCCACCATCATCCCCACTTTCTGTGGGAACAGATCCAAGCTGCTATTGTAACCATGTTCTCTTCCCCACGATTTACCTTTCAAGATCAACTAGAGGGGGAGAGAGGAGCTGGTCCGTATGTTAAAGAAGCTTTCTGCTCAACTGGTAAATGCAAAATCATGCTTCCTTCTCACAGTAACAACTTCATATTTAAGTTAGTCTAGAAAAACATAACGTGCTGTTTCAGAGCAAATCATAATCTGTACTTACTTCATTCTGTCATACTCCTGAGAGGTTGTGGTTACTCTCTCATCTCCCACATAAACCTCACAAAAAGGCCTGCAGCCATTACGCTGCTTACTGAAAAGAGGAACTGGAGTCATGACAATTGATCTGACAAGGATGGGCTTGCTGTGAGGAATAATGGGTTCTTCAGCCATCATGTCACACATGTATTCAATGTATCTGCCAAAACCAAAAGGTATTCATTTAGACAGAGATCCAAATTCTACAAATAGGTGAACACGTAGGTTTACTTCTGTTCATATTCAGCCACTGAGTAGTGACAAATTATAGCAATAAAACACTGAGAACACTTAACAGCACTTCCAGCAAATGGATTTTCAAATCTGATAGAATTTCACAAAATGAAAATAGAAACATGGAGAACTATTTATCCCTAGCCAGCCTCTCAATTTAAGGCCAGCAACACAGTTTCTGTACAAAAGCCTGATAACTGCATCACAACAGAAAAACAGACTGTCCAGAAAATTGTACACAGCACTACGTATGAACTCATCTGCACCTGCGTCCCTGCCTTAGGTCTGTAGCTTTACATATATTCACTTCTAAAAC